TAAAATTGCTTCCAAAAATTTGTCTCATTCAAATGGAGATGTCAGGAATTGAATCTAAGACCTTCAGCATGCCAAACAGATGCTCTGCCACTAAGCCATAGTTTCCCCCCTGTCTATCTTGTAGCCAAATGGGTGGTTTAGGATTCTTTCAACATTCTGTGTTTTACATTCTGAACAATAGATGAACAATTTTTATACTGGTCAGTTCTTCATACAAAGTTCTCAAAGAGATGGGACATGGTGGTCATGGGAGATTTCAGTTACCCGGATATCTGTTGGAAGTCCAGCTCTGCTAAAAATGAAAGGCTCAATAAATTCCTGACTTGTCTTGCTGACAACTTCATTTTCCAGTAAGTGGACAGGGGAAAAAAGGATCTGCTATCTTGGACTTGATACTCACCAACAAGGAAGAACTAGTTGATAAGGTGAAAGTTATGGGCACCTGGGTAGTGGTGACCATGTAATTTTGGAATTTACAGACTTGGGGAAGGGAAAAGCTGTACGTAGTCAGACATGTAGGTTGGACTTCAGGAAAGCAAATTTTGACAGACTTAAAGTAAAATCCCATGGTCAGAAATACTGAAAGAGAAAGGAGGTCAAGAGGGATGGGAGTTTCTTAAAAGCGAAATATTAAATATTAAATGATTCCTATGAGTAGGGAAAATGGGAGGCACCTAAAGAAGCCAAGGTGGCTCCATAAACAGCTTTCTAAAGACTTGAGAAATAAAAAAGACTCATGTAGGAAATGAAAGGGAGGGCCTTATAACCAAGGATGAATCTAAACAAATAACCAGTGCTTTCTAGAGAGAGAGTTAGGAAAGCTAACACTCACTATGAGCTTAGGCTAGTGAGAGATGCTAAAAACAACAAAAAAGGTTCTTATGTACGAAGTAAGAAAAAGAGCAAGGATGTGATAGGCCCATTGCAGGGACAGAAAAGTGAAATTTTAACAGGTGATTAAGAGAGGGCAGAACTACTCAATTCCTACTTTTCCCCCAGTCTTCTCTTTTGAGGGCAACAGTGCTCAATATGGCAAAAACAGAACACATGATGAAGGAAGGGAGTTGCAACTTAGGATCAGCATGTGGTAGTACATAAACACCTAGTTTCTTTAAATGAAACTAAGTTGTCAGGGCCAGATGAACTATATCAAAGGGTACTAAAAGAACTCACATGTGTAATTTCTGATTCTCTGTCCATTATTATTGAGAATTCCTGGAGAACAGGTGAGGTGCCAGAAGATTAGAGGCAGGCAAATTTTGTCCCCATTTTCAAGAAGGGGAAAAAGGAGGATCATGGTAACTACTGACCCATCAGCTTGACGTCTATACCTGGAAAAGTTTTAGAAAAAAGCATCAAAAAGTCATTGAGCACTTAGAAAGGCTGTGATTACTAAGATTCAGCATGGGTTTCTCAAGAACAAGTCACTAACCTTATGTCCTTTTTTTGAGAAAGTTACTACCTTGCTGGATCAGGGGAATGCTGTAGACATAGTTTATCTTAATTTTAGTAAGGCTTTTGATAAGGTTCCACATAATATTCTTGTTGACCAATTGGTAAAATGTGGTTTGTATCCTATTACTGTTAGGTGGTTCTGTAACTGTTTGACAGATCGCACCCACAGAGTGCTTGTAAATGGTTCCTCATCCTCTTGGAGAGGAGTGACAAATGGAGTGCCTCAAGGATCTGTCCTGGGACCTGTTTTGTTCAACATTTTTATCAATGATTTGGATGAAGGAATAGAGGGAATGCTTATTAAATATGCAGATGATACTAACTTGGTAGAGGTAGTAAATACGGTAGAAGACAGAGTCAGGATACAGGATGATCTTGACAGGCTGCAAAACTGGGCTAAAACAAAATGAATTTCAGTGGGGTTAAATGTAAAGTTCTGCATGTAGGTAGAAAAAATCAAATACATAATTGTAGGATGGGGGAGAGATGTCTTGGCAGTAGTATGTACGAAAAGGATCTAGGGGTCTTAGTAGACCATACACTGAACATGAGTCAGCAGCGTGATGCAGTAGCTAAAAAGGCAAATGCGATTTTGGGCTGTATCAACAGAAGTATAGTGTCCACATCACGCGAAGTGATGGTATCACTTCACTCTGCTCTAGTTAGACCTCACCTAGAGAACTGTGTTCAGTTTGGGGTACCACAATTTAAGAAGGATATAGACAAGCTGGATCATGTCCAGAGGAGGGCAGAGAAGATGGTGAGGGGTCTGGGGACCAAATCCTATGAGGAAAGGTGGAAGGAGCTGGGTATGTTTAGCCTGGAGAGGAGCAAACTGCAAGGTGATATGATAACCATCTTCAAGTACTTGAAGGGCTGTCATATAGAGGATGCTGCGGAGTTGTTTTCTGTTGCCCCAGAAGGTTGGACCAGAACCAACAGGTTGAAATTAAATCAGTCAATCTGATTTATTGTGGCAGGAGCCAGTAAATTAAATCAAAAGTGTTTTCGGCTAAACATTAGGAAGAATTTTCTGACAGAGCAGTTCCTCACTCAGTGGAACAGGCTTCCTTGGGAGGTGGTGGGCTCTTCTTTGGAGTTGTTGTTTTTTTAAACAGAGACTAGATGGCCATCTGATTGTTTGAATTTAGGCAGATTATGAGAAGGAGGACAGGAAAGGTTGCATCAGTGCTTAGTTCTTGTGGCCCTTTCTTACATGCTCAGGGGAATGCTGATCACCACTTTGGGGTCAGGAAGCATTTTTTCTCTAGGCCAGTTTGGCTGGAGATCCTGGACATTTTTTGTCATCTTCTGGGCATAGAATAGGGGTCAGTGGGGGTGTGAGGGGGGGATGTATTTGTGAATTTCCTGGCTTATGCAGGGCAGGGGTTCGAATAGATGACCCTGGAGGTCCCTTCCAACTCTATAATTCTATGATTCTGTACCTCCCCCCCCCCACATGATGGATATGTATTCAAAAATCACTAAATCAGTGCAAAAAAGGAATTTGATGTGATCATACAAATAACTGCATCAAGATAAAATGCTATACAAGAAGAATACTGATGCAAGCATCCCATCCCGTCAAGAGCACAGCTTTCCCCCCCTCATTCATATCAATATGCAAGCGTGTCAGTTGCAGGTAAACTGAAGGACCTGAAAACTGTACATACTTTACCTCACAAATTCATTGTACAAATGTCCTTAGCAAAAAAACCCCAACAACAGGCATTCAAAAGGTGTAGATTGCCTGACGGAGCAAACCCACAGAAGAATAAAAGAACAGAACTGGTGAAACTCACTCATCTCTAGAGGGTAAAGCTGGGTCCCCAAGGGCCCAATTATATTGCAGCTGAATTTTTTTAACCCAGTGGTTCTAAGGAACCTAGAACTACTGTATACACTGACCTTAACGAATGGCTGGGGCAAAGGAGAATCTTGTTTGACAAACAAGGCTGAGCTGGATGGCATTGTCCTACTTCCTTGGGATAATATGCTACTTTAGCTGCTCCTGTACAAGTTTCTCTTGTGTGTATTGAAGAACAAGAGTATATACATTTAAGACATCATAACCAACAGCATCAAAAAAAAATCCTATTGAAAACTTTATCTGCAGGTATTCTGGGCTCAGAATTTTTGTGCTGTGTAAATTTTTTCGTCAACAAGGTATGGGGATCTCCCAGACTAATTTCATTCAAGCAAAATGTTAGATGCCACATTGCCTTTGGTGAAGATTGTGACTGATAGTGATAATCAAAGTGTTCCAAGAGTGGCTGTATAGAAGGAAGCACACAAGCCCGACTTACCAAGTGTCAGTTTTTGCAACCTGGGCTTGGAGTGAAGCAAAGAAGTCCGCCTGCTTCTGCAGCCATGTGTGCTGGCTGGCTGAAGGCTTGTGCCCGATGGTGTTTTTGAGCCAGCCTGCTGCATCATTGCTTCAGGGGCAGGAGCTGTGCTGGGAGTGATGGTGACCAGTGTTCCCTCTAAGCTGAGTTAGCGTGAGCTAGCGCACAGATTTTTAGCTTCCAGCTCGCACATTGTCGTCTTAGCTCAGGAAGGAGGGCTCCAGAGCAAACTAATTTATACAGTAGCCAAATCGCTAACTCACAATTTTAATGCCAGTAGCTCACAAAGTATTATTTTTGCTCACAAGACTTCACAGCTTAGAGGGAGCATTGATGGTGACGTGGGCATTTTGGTGGGCTCCTAGTGGGCATTTAAATCTCTGCAGCCAGGTGCCCCTTCCTGTTTTGTGGATCTTCAGTTCTCCCACCCACCCTCCCTCTTCTGGTCATAGAATGTTTTGTATTATTGTTTGTGCTTTGATTTGTCACAGCTTCGGTGGTTTGGGCATTAGGACAAATCGGGTTTGGGGGTGGGGCCTGTGTGCCCACCTTCTCTGTTTGGAGACTCCCTTAACGGGTCTTGGGGGTGGAGCCATTAGCGGCTTGCTCAGCTCGGGGGCTGTCATCCAGCTTCCCCACCAGGTGGAAAGGGAATATCTCAGCAGCCAGTGCCCATGTTGTCCTCACAACATTGCCACTGCTCGATTCCCCCCAGCAGGTGGGTGGGTGGGGGAATGGGTTTCATAGGACAACAGTTGGATTATTCGATGCTGGATCCTTTCTCATGCTACACTGATGATCTTTGATTTGTTCCCAATAAAGCTGTAGCCATTTTTCTGCCACAAAATTATCTTGTGTTGTGTTCCACATATTCTCTTCTCAATAGGCCATGGGCCCGCAAGCATTTCTGAGAAAAACAGTCGAAGAACAGAAACCTAAAGCATCTGGCATTTTGGATACTGAAAAAAAATCACACAATTCAACTAAAGTTCTATTTGATGCAATGCTGCAGCTGGAAAATATAACTACTGCTGTTTTTTCTGTAGTAGATGGATAGAAGGATACAGTTGTCACAGGCACAAGCAATACATTTTGGTGGCCAAGATCTTTGTGTGTGGGGGGAGATATTGGCCACCTCTAGGAATGATATTTGGAGCTGTGGTGGCTCAAGTGGTTAAGACGCTGAACTGCAGGCTGTGGAAGGTCAGTAGTTCAGCAGTTCGAGACCCGAGTTGCCGCATGACGGAGTGAGCTCCCATCTCTAGTTCCAGCTCCTGCCAACCTAGCAGTTTGAAAGCAAGAAATTGCAAGTAGATAAATAGGTACCACTTTGGTGGAAAGATAACAGCATTCCGTGCGCCTTGGTGTTTAGTCATGCCGGCCACATGACCATGGAAACGTCTTTGGACAGTGCTGGCTCTTCGGCTTTGAAACGGAGATGAGCACCGCAACCCTAGAGTCGGGCTTGACTGGCTTTCGAGCAAGGGAACCTTTACCTTTACCTAGGAATGATATTTAAATAAAAAGATATTGCGTGGCTGCAGGAATTTTTATGGAGTAGTTATTTGGGGTTTTGTTGCAATTATATATTTTAAATTTAAATTTATAAGTGGCTTTGAGCCACAAGGAAAGGTGGTTTATAAATATTTTAATTTAAAAGTTGCATATGAAGCAGTAATCAGTATTCTGAACTTTTAACAAAAATGTTTGAGTTTTAGTGTTTGATATGATGACAAATTCATTTTCAGGTAAGATTGGTTTCTTGAAGTGCTGCTTAATGAGTCCTTATTTATAGGCCACAGAGTCTTAGAATCCATTAGTATCCAAGCCAGGTTCTTTGCTAATGAATTTGATACAATGAACAGTGATGAGGTTACAGGAAGGGAAAACTACTGAGATATAGGAAAAAATCTGTCAGCACTAGCAGCATTAAAAGTGAGTGTATGTGACTTTCTCCAGTGAGTTAAAAACACCTTTTTTGGTAAGAGAAAGAAAAGGTCAGACGAAGATAAGGGGAATAGATTTTTCTAAAGGATATTGTGGGTTGCGGTTTATGTATTTCAAGATGGCTAATGATTTCTAGATAGGGGTTTTCTGTTTTGCTGACACACTCAGAAGTCCAACTTTCTTTCTCCAAGAGAAAGCACAAATTTTCCTCAGGATTGCAGCCCACTTCACTTTTTCTCTCATTTTGAACACTGACAGTTACAGTAGTCTTTAAGAGAGAAATTACAGCGGTGCAGGGCCCTCATTTGGCTCAGTACCCGTGTGCGTGTGTGTGTGATTTCCTCATTGCATGCTGTTTCTTTGTGCAAAATGGAGATATGTCTTCTGCCCCCCTTTTTTTTCTTTAAAGAGTTATAATAGTGTGGAGAGCCCAGTTTCAGTTTGTAAAACTGTTGGGTTGGGATGGAGAGGTAAATTTCCCCTCCATTCTCATCAGAAACGAATCAGGGCTCAAGACATCTGTACTTAAAAAGATCCAGTCATGATCCTCCCCGTGTCCTGTCTGTTTTAAGCCAGAGCTACTACAGCACAAGGTCAGGAGACATGAGGATATAACAGCATCAGAAGACCAGTCCAGTAGTAATACAAGGACCCCCACGGCTGAAAATGCATTTAATGCCACTGCAGGAGAATTCTTCCATTAGCTAAATCTGTAGTATAGAGAGAAGATTTTATTGTATTTAGCCATAGGCCATTACAAACCACAGACAGAGAAGAGCACAATAAAACACAAAAATTGTATAAAATAAGATACAGTCCAACATTATAAATCCATAAAACCGAGGTTATGAACAGTTAATTAATTCACAACATACCCACTAAAATCAGTATTAGCTAGGAGCAGCGTTGGCCCGTATTTTCCTTGCAGCCAAGGCAAATAAAGCCATTCTATGGGATACATCAGCATTGGCATCGGCTAGCAAAAATATAATCTTCTCTGATCTGTAGTATACTATTCTCCTTGTTCTTCCACAGAGTAATGAAGCTAGAAAAAGTGGATAGAACATCAATCCTCACTGGTTTTCACCACCCTGAACAACTTTGTATCATCCGCAAATTCAGGACTGTCTACTCCGCAAAGTCAGGACTGTCTACTCTGACTGGCAGCAGCTCTCCGGGGTCTCAGGCAGAGGCTTTTCACACCACCTACTAACTGATTCTTGTAATGGAGGTGCTGGGTTTTGAACCTGGGACTTTCACTGCTCCTCAGAAACCTCTACTATTATTTCTTATGAATTATCCGATATTCATGTTTCCTGTGCACATTCCCGGTATAAATATGCTTATTCAGATATCAAACCATACTGCATTCCATCCAGTATACACAACATTGCAGTCTTAACACTACCACCCCAGATATACAGCAAACAGAGGGAATCTTTCTCATAACTACAATTTCTGAACAGATAGAACTACATTATAAATTTGGGGTAACTGTAATCGTGTTCCTTCTAGAACAGGGGTGTCAAACGTATGGCCTGCAGGCTGGATCCAACCCCTGCAGTGCTCCAATCTGGCCCAGGAGCAACTGGCTTTCTGCTGTTTCCTGCTTCTTGTTCCTGCTAGCTGCTTCCTGCATCAGTGCTCTTTTTGTTTAGTCTCTCCTATTTCCTGCTTTGTAGAGGACAGAAAGAAAGCCAAGCCTCAGGGCCGGCCCGAGGTGAGGCTGCGCCCTAGGCAAGGCTGCAGGCTGCAGGTGCCAACCTCCCAATGGGGCCTGGAGACCACCCCACTGGGAACCCAGTGGGAGGCCCTGGATGGGGCGGCGGGCCCTGGATGGGGGCACCAAAGTTCGCCTCCCCCCGCCAAAAGCCAGTGCCGATCCCCGAGGCTCCCCTCCACGTCCCTCCACGTCCTTCCCGCCTGCCCGGACCCTCTCCAGCAACCCATGGCCGGCTTCAAGTTTGCACACTGGGGGGGAGGAACACAACCCTCCCCCCCAGTGCGCAAACTTGAGGCCGCTGCGTTTTCTTTCTGCCGGCGCCTTGCCCGCGGCGGGAGGAGGTAGGTGGGCGAGGGGATAAAGGGCCGTGCAGTCCCAGGGCGGAGGGCTGGCTGGCTGGCTGAGGCGCTGGCAGCAGGGCACGCTTAACTCCTGCCTGGCGGCGCCTGCAGCAGCTCCGGCGGCCTTGGCTCCCCCAGCAGGCGGCGACAAGTGCAGCCCGGGCTGGGCTCCCCTGTTCATGTGCCCGCTCTGCCGGCACCTTTCCCTGCTGGTCATGGGTCGCTGGAGAGGGTCCGGGCAGGCGGGAAGGACATGGAGGGATGCGAAGGGGAACCTCGGGGATCGGCGCTGGCTTTTTGCAGGGGGAGGTGAACTTTGGCACCCCCATCCAGGGCCCGCCGCCCAATCCAGGGCCTCCTGCTCTAGGCGAGTGCCAAGTTGGCCTAGCAGGAGAGCCGGCCCTACCAAGCCTCCCTGTCTTCGATTGGCTGAGGGCTCCTCCCCATCCTCCTCTGGAGAGGGAGAGGGAGGGGAAGAGCCAGAGAGAGGGGTGGAGAGAAATGGAGTCCTGTGGCACATATAAGAAGACCAACAAACTTTTATTCCAGGTATAAGCTTTTGTGTACAAGCACACTTCTTCAGAGGGGGGGAGGGGGGGAAGAGCCACAGACAGAAAGTCCAACATTTAAGACCAACAACATTTCATTCCAGATAAAAGATTTTGTGTGCCTGCACACTTCTTCACGGAGGGAGGGAGGGAGGAGGAAGGGGGAGAGGGGGGAGAGAGTGTGTGTCCCATGTTAAATCCAACAATGTTTTATTCCAGGTATAAGCTTTTTTGTGCCTGCACACTTCTTTGGGGGGGGGGAGGTAGGTGGGGAAAGAGCCAGAGAGAGCACACCAGAGAGTGAGTCCCATGGCACTTGGAGAGATTCCCCCTTTCCATTTCTAACAGATGGGGAGGGGGAAAGAAACCTAACAGCATAGCTTGCATTCTTTATTAGCGGAAGGGAGCAAGAATCCAGTAGCACTTTGATGACTAACAAAATTTGTAACAGTGCATGAGCTTTCATGAGTCATTGCTCACTTCTTCAGATACAGCTAGAATGTGAGTCCGTCCTTATATCTTGGAGAGTAAACTGATTTCAAATGCCAAATGACAATAGCAGGCATTGGTAATGAGAGAAGAAACCTAGGTCTCAGTCCAGTCCAGTGGAATGCATTTTCTTGAGCTTCATTATCAGTTGCAATTCAGCAGTCTCTCTTTCTAATCTCCCTTTGAAATTCCTTGCTACCACTCTGCTACTCTTAAGTCAGCAACTGAATGTCCTGGAAGGTTAGAATGTTCTCCCAATGGTTTTTGAATGTTGTGGTTTGTAATAGCAGTAGAAAGAGTAAGAGTCCAGTAGCACCTTAAAGACTAACATAATTTGTGGTAGGGTGTGTGCTTTTGTGAGTCACTGCTCACTTCTTCAGAGTTATTTCCATTTATTCTTTGCATCCTCCTAGAATGAATCCTTCTGCATCAAATTAAGACCTAGGTTTCCTGTCTCATTTCCAATGCTGGTATCTCCATGCCTACTACCCCCCCCCACAAATCACACCTAAACCAATCACGCCTGCTATTGCCATTCAGCATCTGAAATCATCTTTATAACATTTATATCTCCAGTACCTCGTGTTACATTTTGTGGTAGACATGGCCTGGCCTGGCCTGACAAAGTGACATTTATGTCAGATCTGGTCCCCATAACAAATGAGTTTGACACCTCAGCTCTGGAGGTTACCTTGTCCTCTACCATACAAGATTTTAAACAGTAGTCAGGATCTCATGGCCCGAACCATTCCCTTTTGTTCCCGTGATCTAGACTTTAAACCCCTTCCCTTGGTTCTTAAATGGTATAAAAATGGCATCAGTGTTTGACACCTCCTTGGGTTTTTTGAAAGCCTCTGTCTTGCCCTCACCTGATCCTTGTGCTTTAAAAAGCACTTTTAACTCTGAAAGGGTGCTCTCATTTCTGTAAGATAAAGGCACAAATATATATAAGAATCAAACAGATCTTTTGATTGTAATGAATGAAATAAAACCGTAACATCAGAAGTCT